CTCCACATTAGAGAATAATTTGGTATCAGACCAAGATATTCTAAGGAGTAACAAATCCTCCATACACCATTCGTCCATTCGTGCGAAAAAGCACAGGTGGCATCTAAATATAAAATAGCCAAAGACCTCTCAAAAAAATAATAATCCTTTTCTGCCTTTTCATGATTGTCCACATAAATTAGTAGTTTTCTCAATGTTTTTTCCTCAGTCTTAAAAGTGTTGTTCTTTTTCAGGGGTATTAAAATGCCATCCATGCATCCTGTTTGATTGTGATTGTAACCATTTATGGAGGGCAACGTTTCCTTTGAGTTGAACTCAACTCTTTGTAACACAAAAAATGTTTCGTGTGAGCTGCATTGACTCTCAGTTTTTATTAGAAATTACTCAAACTTCTAATAAAAAATGTTGGACAAAGATATTATCTTGTGAATAATATGCCCTCATAGATATGGATCACACCACTTCCATGTTTAGCTTCTGAGAAATAAATATCTTGCTCTGGTAGAGAACATTGAGGACATGTTAAGCTTGGGATCTGTTTCTTTTGGATGATAACATTATGTTTTATTGTTTTCGTGCTTATTTTTCCTCAGATCTGTTTAGAGTGAAGTGATACAGAAATATCAATAATAAAAATATAAATACATTAGTATTTTCCAGATCTAATAATAGGAAGTAGTTTATTATTAAAATAAACAAATTTATATTGGCAAAGTTTCTGGATCAAATGCTATTCATCATTTTCATAGTATATATTGAGTACCTTCTGCCAAGGAATCCTCTCATCTTAATATATACAGTGGTGTGTGTGTGTATATATACACACACACACACACACACACACATACATACATATACATACATACACATATACATATGATTGCACGCACCTAGAGGCATATGTTTTATTCATTTAAAATGATATATAACTTGATTAATTCTCAGGACAATGTCATGAATCATTCTATGACAAGCTCTTCATACTGCTGGGGAAATACTATTGTACTTTTTCCCCTTGTTCTTACTTTTTTGGAGAATAATTTAACTCCTTACAGATATACGTTGAACACAGCTTTTGCATTTGACACAGAGGGAGTTTAGACTGGGTGTGGTTTTTCTTATCCTCAAGTCTTAATAGCTGAACCTCAACACATGTTTATGTTATGGCTATTCTGTGATCTCAGTTAGTTTGTTCTTCACTTTATCCTTCTGCAACATGAGTTTTCTGCTCTGGTCTTGGCCTATTATAGGGATGCCCATACATGGCATTTGTGCCTGTAGGGAATCCCTTCAGCAAATTTTCAACACAGAAACACTTAACTTCCAGTTCCACCGTAGCATTAATTAAAATACTGAAGACAATTTTTCAGGATTAACACTACAGCTTTGAGGCAGATGTTTATTTATTTATTTTTTATTTATTTATTTGATTTGTCAATCGCTTGCAAGATAACAGGTATAAGTATAAACATAGTTATGAATACATGAAATGGATACATATAAGGAAAATAAAAAGAAATAATAGGACAGGAATGGTAGGCACGTTGTTGCGCTTATGCATGCCTCCTACAGACCTCTTAGGAAAGGGGTGAGGTCAATAGTAGACAGTCTAAGGTCAAAGTTTTTGTGGTTTGGGGAAGAAACCACAGAGTCAGGTAGAGCAGGGGTCCCCAACCACCGGGCCCCGGACCGGTACCGGTCCGTGGATCATTTTGTACTGGGCCGCAAAGAAAATAAAAATAAAATAAAAATGGCGGCTTTCTTCGCCTTCGGTGAATGCTGCTGGGATCAGGGATCAAGAACACAAAGGAAAGAAGGGGAGGGAGGAAGCAACCAAAGCCTGTCCTGCTCTCCAGCTCAGTGGCTTCGGTTTCCTCCCACCTCGTTCCTCTCTCAGTCGCTCTCTCGCTCCTCCACCAGCCCAGGAAGAAACTGCTTCAAAGAAGCTGGCAGAGTGGCTTTTCCTGTCAGCACAGCTCCTCAAAAGCGCCCGTTCACCCCCACACAGCCGCCCGCGGTTCAATCCAGTGCTCTGTTCTGCCTGCCTGCCTGCCTGCCTGCCTTCGTTTCTGGTTGTTTCGGAGCAGCTTCGGCTGAGAAAAAGAGGCGAATAGTTATTAAAGGGAGGGAGACACCTGAGGGATGAGGCTGAGGAAGGCAGGGCCGAGAGGCGGGCCTTCTCAGCCATCCTGCAGGGACGTTGGAGGAGGTGGTGGCGCTGGCAGCGGTGGGAGGTGCACAAAACCAACCGTTGCCTCTGCTGGGAAGGGCGAGGGGCGGGAATTTCGACCACGTGCTCTGGGGCTGCGCGGCCATGCCCCCCGCGGCACCCATGGTGGCTGGCAAGCGGGAACATGTGGAGTCGGCCAACACGGGTACGATGCGCGCACCGGCCCTCTGAGAGGGGGGCTAAAGATGCGCTTCTCAATTACCCCCCCCCCCCGTTAACCCTGAAGTAAAAGGAGAAAATGGGGGAGTGGGGAGAGAACTGGGGGTTGCCTTGCTCCTGGCAACGGAGCCGGGTCATAAATCCTTGAAACGGGTGCAGGTGGCCTGGGAGGGGGGGTCCTTAGGATGCGGTCAAAAAAGTCAAAATGGTGGCCATCACCTTGCCTTCCCTAATCTCCCCGCCCCTAACTGAAGACCTTGGGTCTTGAACTAGGAACTCCTTCATTTGGTTTTTTATATATATATATATCAATCAGCCATGGGCCGCCGCCGCCCAGCGCTCAGTTTTGAAGGTGCTCCTTAGCCAGGCACAGTTCTTGAATCTGCAGCTGAAAACCTCCGTTTTAAATGTCCCAATAGAAGAGAATATCTGTCGCTCAGGGTTGCAATGAGGAGGCCTTGGCGCTCCCTGAACTTGGTGGTTTGCTGGCAGACGTTTTATTACCCGACTAGGTAACAACCTAGTCAGGTAATGAAACGTCTGCAAGCAAACCACCAAACTCGGACTCCACCCCCACTAGTCGGTCCTTGAAAAAGTGTTTCTGCATGAAACTGGTCCCTGGTACAAAAAAGGTTGGGGACTACTGAGGTAGAGTATTCCAGACATTGACCACTCTGTTGCTGAAGTCGTATTTCCTGCAATCAAGTTTGGTACGGTTTACCTTGAGTTTGTATCTATTGTGTGCTCTTGTATTGTTATGGTTAAAGCTGAAGTATTCATTGACAGGTAAGACATTGCAATGTATGATTTTATATACTATACTTAGATCAAACCGAAGGTGGTGTAGTTCTAGGTTTTCTAGGTCTAGAATTTCAAGTCTGGTGGCATAAGGTATTCTGCAATGAGTAGCGGAGTGGAGAACTCTTCTTGTGAAATATTTCTGGACTTTCTCAACTGTGTTAATATCAGATATGTAATGTGGGTACCAGACTGATGAGCTGTAGTCAAGTATTGGTCTAGCAAATGTTTTGTATGCTCTAGTTAGTAGTGTGATATTATCAGAGAAAAAGCTACATAGGATTAGGTTAACAACTCTTAATGCCTTTTTGGCTATGTAGTTACAGTGGGCTCTAGCACTTAGATCATTAGAGATGAGTACTCCAAGGTCCTTGACAGAGTTTGGATCATCAGCAAGGTCTTGACTATTCAGCCTGTATTTTATTTTCTATTTTTTTTTTGCCAATATGTAAAACAGAGCATTTATTTGTTGAGATTTGAAGTTGCCATTTGTTTGACCATTCTGATACATAGTCGAGGCCTTTTTGAAGGGTAGCAGTATTTTCTGTGGTGTTGAATAGCTTTACATCATCAGCGATGAGAATGCAGTTGCTCTTGATATGATCACAGAGATCATTTATGTAGAGTATGAAGAGAGTTGGTCCTAGAACACTGCCTTGGGGGACACCACTGTTGACAGGTACAGAATTTGATAGGACGCTCCCAATTTTGACCATTTGTTGTCTGTTTGACAGGAATGCTTTTATCCAGTTATGCAGGTGTCCAGAGATACCATAAGATTTTAGTTTTAGGAGTAGTTTGTCGTATACCACTGAATCAAAGACTTTACAGAAGTCTGTGTAGATTTTTCCCATCCTGCCTCTAGGATCCTCATCTGTCCCCTCTTCCCTGGATTATGGGGTTTCCAAAATGTGTAAAACAGGAGTGTCAAACTCATGTCATCATGGTGGTGTCATGTGATGTATTGGTACTTTTTTCCCCTTTGCTGAACTGCGGGTGGGCGTGGCCAGTGTGTGGCGCATCTGGCCCAGAGGTCAGGAGTTTGACAGCCCTGGTGTAAGAGAACTAATGGCACAGCACAAGGACAGTGAATCATGTCTTAAATGGTGTTTGTCGCTGCCTTATGTTATATATGCATGCAATATAAAAATACAAATATTGTGCGTAAAGGATGGGAATTAAGCAGAGGCTCAGATCAGCTTTAATTTAAAGGGAAAAAAATCCAAGCCCCTTTCATAGGAAAAGGAAGGAAAATGTTATGACTTCAATTTTTGGAAATTAAAGACCAGTAGCCACTGCAATAGAGGAGCTATGAACTGACTAATAGCACTGCTAAATTAGAGCTATTAAAATATGCAAAAAAATAAATGCTTCAGTTAGAATTTAGGTAGTGGTTTTTAATTCTTCTGCTTAGTCTTCAATTAGAGCATAATAAAACACCTATATTTTTTCCTTTCTCAGCATGTTTCTATGCATGTGATTTTACTTAATGTAGATAGAAAGATGTATCGGAGAGATTTAAATGATGCCATTGAATGAAATGTTATGGAAATTGTATGTATTTTTATAAAAAGGCATATTCTCCTTCTCTTGAACTTATTATGTCAGTTGAGGAAATATTCTAAATGGAAGCCTTCCAAGACCAGGGAAATTTCTTATGGGGGAGTCAACCATTGGTTTTCACTTGCTCACGGAAAAGTCTCGCCTTAATTCTGCCATTTCTCTTAAAGCTCTGGCTTGTTTTATATGTTTTACATTCATTACTTTACATTAATTTTCTCTAGACAAAATAAAGTGTTGTACTACATTGCAGCCTCACTGTTAGGAATGAAGACAGAGGGGACAGCACAGGAAGACCGACACACACTAGCAAACTGGAGAGCATCCAGGTCATTGAAGAGGGGTAAGTTTTTCATTTGTATTATCTGGGGAAAGTGCTGAGGTTCATTCTTACTCTCTCCTTGTTTATTAATCATATTCCATTCCAGTTTTTAAATAAAATGGCCATAAGTGAGCATATGATGGCAGGGGGTAGGAGAGGGAGGATGTAGGGAGGGAGAGGAAGAGGAAGCGAGCAGGGGAGAGAGAAAGAGAGAGAGATGCTGGGGAGAACCCAGGTTGCTATTGTCTCGTTCTATGGAGATTCTCAGTCATCCAGGTCATGGCTGTCCCAAAGGAGCTTTTTCAAGAGGCAGCTGGACTTTCTGGTTTTTCTTTGAAGACATTTTGCTTCTCATCTGAGAAGCTTCTTCAACTCCATCTCCTACCATTCAGTCAGAGCTGAAGAAAATTCTTGAATGAGAAGTGAAACATCTTCAAAGAAAAACCAGAAAGTCCACTTGCCTCTGGAAAAAGCTCCTTTGAGACTATAGTCTCATTCAGATAAGGTTCTCTCAACTTCATCTGAATGAGGAGGTCATGTCCTGTGGCTGACCTGTTTATTCACCTTTTTTGTCCCTTCACAAGGGGGAGAGCTTGCTTACATCAACTGCAGTCTTCCTCCTGAGCTACTTTTCTCCATGGCAAAGTGCTTTCTTAAGAAATGCTAATGGGAAGTTAACAAGCTGAGCTCTGTGACCTTAATTAGTTGATTAGAACATTCCTGCCTCCCACTGCTGCCTGAAACTGATCAGGCCTTAATCAGTTTCACACTGAAGGCTCTTGCTGTTATTAATGCACACACTGGTTAGAAAATGATTTTTTTTATTACCGTTTATTACCATTTATCTGCAAATAGTCACTATCTAAGGTAGTTGCTAAATCATGAGTGGCTGTATGCCTTACCTGATGTTAAGTCCACAGAGATTTTCCTATGCATACACATACATAAGAAAAAGTCATATAAAATTTCAACCAGGAATCTACGTTTTCAACTGCTTGCCTTTTTCTTTAAAAATACATTTTAAAATACAATCTAAACTAGTATACTTCAAAGTATAAAGTGATATATATTTTTTAAATTGGGAGGGGTAATAATAAATTACCTTATGTAACCAAAATGCCCCAAATCAGAATAAGCTTTTCTTCCATAACAATAAAAGAACGATTAAGGCATAGAAGAAAGAGGACATATGTACTTTACATACATACAACGACACACAATGGTTTGTTAAATAGCTTACTTTAAAATATCCCAATAAGAATGGAGGAAATGTCTAAAATTCACAGAGATTATTTTTTTCAGGTGAGATTTTTGGAAGGCAGAAAGCATTTACATCACTCTTGTAGCAAAAAAACTTCTCAACGTTTCTTTCTCAGACAGAGAATTACTCATCATTTCCTCCATTAAATTATAACAATTCTCATTTTGGTGCATTCACTTCTAACTTGGGTTTATCGGCATAATTCTGAAATATTTCTCAAATTCTCTGTCTGCTATACATTTTCCAATTGTAGGTGCTTTTTAAAGCCGCTTAAAGTGAAAATGTATTTACAATTTTCATTCCTAGTTTTCTCTGGCTTTGCACTTCATCACAGTGCCATCTTGTGGTCAAAGTATGTTTCTGTAATACTGTGTCTAATTTCAAAGCAGTTTCCCTATTATCAACTGCCACAGATTCATTTTTTTCATCCTTTATACTATTTGGATAATGTATTTCTCCACACAAATAGATGGCAATATACATTTTGAAATTCATTCATACATATATCAGAAGTCCTGATGTGAGTATGTGGGTGTGCACGCATGTGTGTGTGTATGAAAAGCTTCAAATCATGCTTGACTGTAAAGACACATCCTTGCTATTTTCTTGACAGCAACAAGAAACTGATTCTCCCATGCCTCCTTTCAGATTATTCCAATTTCCCAATTTAAATTACATGCCTAGAATTCCATTGTAATTTCTCATCCAAGTAGGAACCAGAGTCAACCCTGTTTAGTTTCTAAATCCAAACAAAAGTTAGGCAATTATTGCCACCTACTACTGTGAGACATTTTTTAGACTGCATACTGCAGCATAAATTACTAAAGGAGAAGGGGATGTCAGAGGAAGAGACAGTTAGGTAATATCAACAACACAATGAACATGAATTTGGACAAACTCTGGGAGATAGTGGAGGATAGAGGGGAGAGGGGCTGGCATGCTATGGTCCATGGTGTCAGAGTCGGGCACAACTGAAAAACAACGCTGTCGTCTTTATTACCAGTTTATCAGGACAGTATTTGAGTTTCAGGTTTTTTTAAAAGAATGTTCTAAATGTAAAATAAAAAGAATCATTTGCATCTTCTTATATAGAGATTTTGCACACAGTTTTCCTAATGTATTGTTGGAAGAATTATCCTTCTGGGTTCAGTTCCAAGTGGGGAAAAAGACACTGGAAACATGGAGGCTGTTTGGAAGGTTTAATGGTGAACAGGACCACATGGCCTGGAGCTCCAGAGTGAAAAGGAAGGATGATCACATGCTTCAAGGTGAAGGAAGAGATCAAGAAAGGGCTGAGGTGCTGAGAGTGCCTGGGTTTTATAACCTTTGTTGGGATTTGAATTGAAGCTTGTATTCTGATTGGTTGTCAGAGTCCCATGGGGCCATGCAGGGGCAACTCTGTAGGCTGTCCTGAGTTCCAGGCTTGGTTGAGCCTTGCTGGATAATGATGCACTGAAAGGGCTTTTGAGCAATTGCTATAGCTTTACCTGGAGATCTTTGTTATGTAAAGTATTCTGGCCCAGGCCTTAATGGCCCAGCCATTAACAAAGGTGGGGGTGAGCTTCTGCTTCTGAGGTGAGTTTCTGCTTCTGAGTTTCTACTCTTTTTCGGGGAAATATTCTGCCTTTTTAATATTTCCCAGGATAATTCATTTTTCAAGGAGGCGGGTGGGTGCTAACTTCCTACAGTATATAAATATCCATTTCTGAAGAAATGTTTATTTTTAAAAAAAAAAAAACCACACAAAATGTCCTACTTGTTCTTTGGCACTTCAATTCTGCAAAGATAGCTTTAAAATTTAAACTATTTATAAAAGGTAATATCTGCAGCTGTTTGCACATAGCATCCATTAGCATACTTTTGAAAAGATGTTTTTGAACAAGTTTGATCTGGGAAACATAAAACCAGTAGACTATACAACAGCAAAGTCTGATGCATCCAAATTCAGAAATTCATCAGGGAATAATAAATAATAGTCTGCTTTGATGTCAATATGCCATTATAAACTCTGATAAGAACAAAGCATACAAATTTGCTCCCAGTGGAATAAATAGTGATTGTTTTTCTATCTCTTTAAGTTCACCTGTCCCTATCAATTGATGGTGATTTTTTTTTATTGCCTGATAATTCCACTGCCAATAAAGAGAACAAACAAAGATCAAAGTGCCAAAGAAACCATAAATCGTTTATTTAAAAAATTGCAATCCATATTTGGATTATAAAACTGTTTTAAAAAACATAAACATGCATAAGTTTATCAAAATGTATATGAATATTATCACACATACATAGAGTAAATATATTGTACATCATCAATCTTCCCACTTCTTTTAATGATAAAAGATATATTTTCTTCCTAAATAAAAGGAAGATGTTTTATTTTTCATTAAAAGCCAAGATAAACAGATTGAAGCAGAGGGACACATTAAAAGATATTTGTTACAAAAACAATGGTTGAAGCATTTGGCATTAAGGAATTTCTCATCATTCCATCATGAATTCAATTGGGAATTAATCCAATTGACTTTCTTGGTCGCAGTAGTAGGTCTCTCTCAGAACAAATGGTAGCCAGAAAGGATCAGTGAGCCTATAAACCACACAATATGAACTAAGCCGTAAGTTGCATAGGTATGATTTATAGACTGGGTACAATTTTTCATGTCACCTTGAAGCACGCATTGGTTTTTTCTCACTGTTTCCATTATGGGTGTTAAAGCTAACCTGAATAAGGTTTCAGATGCCTGTGCACAATGATGTTTTTTAAGTTAGTATTCCAAGCATATCTCAAGATGAAGGAAGCGTCCTTAATTTGAGGATGAAATGGTGGCGGTCTTCCCATTTCCTCTTCTGTATTGTGGAAACATTTATATTTTTTCTTCTCAAAAGAAATACCTGCTAATTGAATATCATTCAAGCCAGTAGGTCTAAATCAAGAGAACTATGGAGGTGCTCGGGTCAATATAAAAAAGAAACAGGTACATGTTAAATATTCATTATCTAACAAAGGTTTTTGGTAGCGCACTGGGATTTCTCTTTCCGTTGTTATTTCTTTCTTTCCCTTCCTTCCTTTCTTCCTTTCTCTGCCAACTGTTTCAACCACATATTCTTGCTGAAAAGAACTAAAAGGCAACCCTTGAGGCCAAAAAGCTATCCATTCCAAGCAGCCTTATAATGTTTCATTGGTGCATACTTGAAAGATAATTTGTGATTAGACGTATACTTTGATGCTGATGCAGGAGCAGTTTCACTGATTAGATGCAAATTTTTTTGGTGGGCTTTGACTCATAATTCACAGCGTGTGAAGCATCTTTCCTGCACAGTCTATTATTTTTTAATCCAGTTGGAAGAAAGATAAATCACTTTCAGGCCCTCTTCAAAGGAAAGTTAGAAGATGGTTCAGGTATGAGTTCATATCCTGCATTTCATTGTAAAGTCTTCCAGTGCTGTTTTTTTTTTTTTACTTCCCATGCCAATTAAATCCCAAAGAAATACATTAACAGGCAGTTCTAATGTTTTGTATTTTTGACAAGTCAGGCAAGTTGCAAAGTGGTGAAAAACTAGCTAATAAGGAGTAAAAAAAACAACAACTCAGTATCAACATACTCTACTGTCTCACAACAATAAACTCAAAAATACAACTAAAAGAAATTGAAGGATAGTGCAGTATAGTGGTGAAGATGTTGGACTGGCAAAAGGGAGATCTAGAGCAGCGATGGCAAACCTTTTTGGCACTGAGTGCCCAAACCGGAACTCGTGTGCATGCATGTTCAGGGCACGTGCCAGAGCGCCAGAAAACCGAAGACCAGCTGGTCGGTGTGTGCATACCTGGGTTTTTTTGGCTGCTTTTGGCCATTTTCAGGCCATTTTTTGGGTCAAAGCTGGCCTGAAACTGGCCTGGAAAATAACCTGATTTTGGCCATTTTGGGGGGCATTTTCAGGCTGTTTTTCAGGCCATTTTTGGGCTGTTTTGGGGGACATTTTCAGGATGTTTCCAGGATGTTTTCAGGCCATTTTTGCCCCCCCCCCCAACAACCCAAAAATGGCCTGAAACATGGCCTGAAAAAGCCCCCAAAACACCCCCAAAACACCCTGTTTTTTGGCTGATTTTTGGGCTGTTTTCTGGTGCTCCAGCACCAGCGAAGGCAGCTGGCCAGAAACTAGAAGGGCCGGTGATGATGGGTGTCCACAGAGAGGGCTCTGTGTGCCACCTCTGGCATGCGTGCTATAGGTTTGCCATCACGGATCTAGAGTCTAGTGCAGGAGTGGGGAACCATGGCCCTTTTATGACTTGTAGTCTTCAAGTCCCAGAATTCCTGAGCCAGCAACAGTGGCTCAGGAATTCTGGGAGTTGTAGTCCACAAGTCATTAAAAGGCCATTGTTCTCCACTTCTGGTCTAGTGTATCCTCAGCCACAGAAATTCTCTGAGTGACTTTGGGCCAGCCACCATCTCGCTCAGCCCAATTTACCTCTCACAGGGTGATTCTTGTGGGGAAAAAATAATAAGAAGGAGTGCTTGGAAGGCACTGAGCTTCTGACCAAGAGGCAGCAGGATGCCTCACAAATAACCATTTGGTAAGGAAAAATTGGGGAAATTTGAAGACATTTCAGCCCAGTATTATTATTAAGCAAAGTCCAATGGAAAATAAAGAGCATTTCGTGAGGTTGTAGACTACACAATGTGGCCCAGGAGATACACCTTCTAGAGAAACAAGTTAGTTGTAACTGGCTTAAACAATATGGCTTCTTCAAGGACTCAGGTTTACAACACTATGTCTACTTCATTGGGATAAATCCCATTAAACAATATAAGACCAGCTGCAAATCACACTCCTATATGGCAATATTTGTACTGGTTTGACACTTTCGGGTATTGTCTTTGTGATTGCTATTTTTTTGCAGCCAAAATCCTACTGCTGATGAAATTCTATCTTGGGCTCAGAATTTTGACAAGATGATGAAAACACCAGCCGGTAGGAATATTTTCAGAGAATTTCTTCGAACAGAGTACAGCGAAGAGAACCTCCTATTCTGGTTAGCATGTGAAGACCTGAAAAAAGAACAGAACAAGGACGCTATTGAAGAAAAAGCCAGACTTATATATGAAGACTACATCTCTATACTATCGCCAAAAGAGGTAGTTTTTAAAACCCACCAAAGAATATTGGATGTGCACAATGCTCTGTTTGCATGTACAGTGTGATACGTTTAGAATATTTCTCACCACCAGAAATCACTGTCAGAAAATGATACCATATGATGGATAGTAGGGCGGTATAATGAATAAACTGTTGGAATAATCCTAGATGTTAAGCTAAGGTTTGAATATACCTTCAGTCATGGAAGCGTGTGCGTGTGTGTGTGTGTTTATATTTAATATGTGTATAATCGGGTGGGATTCAAATTTTTTAACAACCGGTTCTGTGGGTGTGGCTTAGTTGGTGGGCGTGGTTTGGTGGTCATGTTATTGGCTGGGCATGGCCAACTCAATATCACTCACATCGAGGCATGCATTTCCTCACCTGGCCTCTCATGACTGTGGGGATGCTGCAACAGTTATAAGTGTGAAATATGGTCATAAGTCACTTTTTTCAGGGCCATTGTAACTTTGAATGGACACTCCACACAAGCAAAGTACCAGCAAAGGAAGGGAAAAAAAACTCCAGAGACGTTCCTGAGACAGGAAGTCTAGTCCTGCCAAGAATGTAATAAGGGTTAACGGAGAGGAAGTTTCTGTAAGCAACACCAGAATGTTTCCTTCCTGCCTTTTTTACAGGATTAGGCCAGTAATTTCTTTTAACAACCGGTTCTCCGAATTGCTTGGAATGTTAACAACTGGTTCTAGCGAATAGGTGCGAACTGGTAGAATCCCACCCCTGTGTATAATAGGATCTTTGTAATGGATCCAGAATTTCCATGAGCAAAACTCTGAAAGCAATTTTCCGCTAATCTATCTGTCTTTATATTCCCAGAATACATGACTTCTCATCCTTCCATTTCTTCCAACAGGAGGAACTCTTGATTTCTTTCTACTTGTGACAGGAAACTCTGGATCCAAACAATTCAGATGGATTTATTCTACAGTGTAAAAGTGTTTAGGAGTGCAGGCTTACATTTTTAACATAATTTCCTCTCGCGTCCATTAAGCAATTACTTTTTTCTTTGTTTACTGTAGCATAGCATTAATAACATACATTGATGTCTATAGAGATTCTCAATCATCCAGGTCATTATTATCCCAAAGCTGCTTTTCCAAAAGGCAACTTGACTGTTTGTTTGTTTTTCTTTGAAAAGATTCCACTTCTCATCCAAGAAACTTCTTGTTAGAACTAAAGAAGCTTCTTGGATGAGAAGTGGAATGCTTTCCAAGAAAAAAACCAAGTCCAGTTCCCTGTGGAACTACAGTATTTACATTGACATTAAACATCTGTAGCAAATTTAACTCACTTAGTAGAGATTGAATAAGATGAGGTAGCATTGTTTAACTTACACATTTCAGAATCCTTGTCGTCAAATGAATATTAGTGTTTTGTTTCAGTTATAATTTCACTGATTTTTTAAAAAAAACCTGAAGTATGATATTTGGTACCAAGGCAAATATAAACGTTTTCCCAGTTAAAGATTCAATGGCAATTTGCTTTTGGCGATAATATGGTTTCTACATATGTCCTGGGCTTAAAGAATACTATATTTAATATCAGTGTTGTGAAGACATTACACTAAGGCAAACACTTCTCTAGTCCAGACAAGTTAAATTTATAGATTTAATTTTGGTTTCATTGATTTGAAGACACCCTGGAGAATATATATGGTGTACCAATTGCAATTGGGCTTACGAAGAGAATTCTTTATAGGTAAAGTCCCAATAAGTCCAGTTGTACTTAATTTAAAAATATGCTGATGGATCTGCAGTTCTTCGAGGTGAAAATTTTATTGTCTTTTCCTCTCTTCCTTAGGTTAGCTTAGATTCACGGGTACGAGAAGTGATCAACAGAAATTTGTTGGACCCCAACTGTCATATGTATGAAGATGCTCAACTTCAAATCTACACCTTAATGCACAGAGACTCTTTCCCTAGGTTTTTGAACTCTCAGATCTATAAATCTCTTCTCGAAAGTACAAGGAGCTCTACTTCTGAGACTTAAAAATGATTTGGGGATTTGAAATCTTGATTTAGCTTTTGGGGAATGGGTGGGGTAAGGACTATTAAGATGAAGACAGACGTAAAAATTTTTAAAGCAACAGGCTGCTCTGGAAGCACCTTCACTGCATTTAGTCCAAAATGTACCCTTCCACTCCAGAGTCAAGCTCTGGAAAATCCGGTCCTGCCTCTTGGAGCAGGAGCCGGCTATGCATGGTGCTGATTTGTGAAGCCCCACCCCCACGATGTCACCAAGAAACCTCCCCTGCCATAGCTGGAACAATTTTGCACTTTAAGAAGAGTTTCCTTTGTAAATGAAGAAGGCAGGAAATAAACAGATTAAATGGCCTAATGTCCATCTGTCCTTTTGTTTTGGGTGGACAGGGGTAGGTAGGGAAAGAGACAAGACTGGAAAGCGTGCCAGTTTTTCAATTCATTGTTCTTCACGGCTGCCATTTCAGGTGCTGATTCTGATGGGAAGATGGGTTCAACCAGAGCTAAGGGGTGAACTGAAAGCTCTCTTTTTATATTACATCTGTCTTCACCTTAGTAGTTCAATAACACCTGGAACTGAGTTCCTGGAGAACTACAGTTTGGCACGACTCTGGCTACTGTGAATCAAACAAAATACATACAAAGGTCTTCGTCTACATTTATCAAGGTCTATCATTCTTGATTTTTGGAAGGGAGGGAAAGTAGATTTGCCAAATCACACTTATTCAAATACTTTTACACCTGCAGTTAAGATTACAATGATGTTCTTGTCGTTTTAATGGAGAGTTTCCTTGTGTATCCTCACACTGCATGTGCAAAGCAAAACTGCTTCACTTTATCACTTAGTTGTTGCAATATTTAATCCAACAACATAAATTATATCTATATTTAAGAACATTGTGTGCAATATGGTCTTATGGTACACACGTAGGGATTATTGGAGTGAACCAGAAAACAATCTGACTTGGATTTAGCAATGTTATTCCCCATGTTCTGTGGAGAAAAATCCATTGCTATATAAGACAGACAACATTTCTATGTAAGAAAAAGAGCAAGAAGTGAATGTTATTTATCATCATTTATTTAAAATTCAAAACAGAGGATTCCTCTGGTTATTGACTGCCAGAATTGTGGTACTTTCATTACAGAAATGTCAAAACTAACAACAAACATCAAAGCACAAGCTACATGAAAAAAAATCAAATGGAGAGACAGAGTCTATAAGCTGACATTGTTTATAATTGTTATAAAAACAGATAATCAATGTACATTTCAGATGTCAGATACTGTAATGGATTTATTAAAGACTGGCTATCCAGTTATCTAAAATTGTTGTGTAATGTTATGTAATTCACAAAAGGAAAGAAACAAGACAAAAAAAATCTTCCATTCACAGAATCAAGTCTAGAAAAATTTATGGTTTTAATTTAAAAGATAATTTTTTTAAAAAAAAATGCATAAATGTAGCATTTTGGTCAGCATTGGAGACTAGCATTTGTCTATATATTTGCTTTTCTTAAAAGTTCTGTCCTATGAAAAGGAAAATTTATATTTTTAAAGAAAAAGCTAAGGAAGAATATCTTCTGGCATTCCTAATTTGAAAGGTTCATTTATGGGTCAGTGTTGTGGAGATTTAATAAATATTAAATTCAAACCTACTGGCCCAAAAATAGTGGCAAGAGTTGTTCTTTTTTCTCTTTAAAATAAACATCTTTGTAAGCACCAGTAAAAATGAAGACAGTATGGGGTCCTCTATTTACCTTGAGTTGAATTTGCCAGGGTCAATCTTTTGCACAAACCATCCTATAATGAATGTGGATTTAGCCAAGAGCTGTTTTTCTCTTGTGAAACTCCCATTTTCCCAAATGTGCAATTGAAAAATCCCTTGGAGATCCTTTCCTTTGCTGCTAGTTCAGTTTTGTAAGTAGCTACCTGATTTTTTTTAAATCCTAATTTCCCTAAGTGCTTGCATCTTTAAAAAGAAATAGCAAAATTTCTAAACAAACAACCAAAAAAACCCCGCCCTGTTCTTAGAACCTGTTCATTTTAATATTCAGTCTTGAGATTTTATTTGAAGAATTGTTAAGGTGCCACAAAACAGATACATATTGAACGTATTATTATGAACTTTAGATTTGATGCTTGGGGACATTCTATAAACCGATTCTTCTCCTCGAAGTGAACTTCTCGTTGCTGTCCATGATGAAGATATGGTGTTAAACAAATAGAATCAAGTTCTTTAATGTTAGCTGCTTGCCTGCAAGTTATTCCTGAGTTCATCTACATCTTAATGTGGATGCATTCACTAAGCATTCCAAGTCTCATTCATTAAAGGGGAATTTTTGCTGGAGCAAAGTTGTGAATTTTGCCCTCTGTGGTTGCAGTGGCCAAAAGAAAATAATGTATAGATCACATTAAGTACTGGATTGTTCATTCTAGTCCTAAACATCTGTGCCAACAGTGCCCCTCCCCCACATGCTTGCATAATACTGGAATCTCTTGATCATCTAGTGTCCTTGAGAGCTATATTTCCCCAGTATAAGTCCTTCGTTGCTAGCAATTATGCCATTGATTTATTTTGGAAGGGACTCATTCTTTATCTCTTTCACTACCTCTTCATATTTAATTTATTGAACATGTGTCAAAGGGCAGAAGTATGTGTGGTTGGGAATATACCTATTACTTTACTTACAATACTTGAAATCTGTAAGCTTAAGAGGTGTGGTGGGGAGATGTGGATAATTTAGCTAACCATTTCTTAAGATCTTTTGGTTTTGTAATTTATACAGAATTCAGGAGACAAGACTTTTGTAAAACAAAAAAAAAGGGCTATTCTTTATTCCCTATGCAACTCTTTTAACTGTTGTAGTGTTTGACAAAATGGGATTTTAAAAAAAAGGCAAAAAAGTAAGAGAAAATTCTGCAAAGCAGGAAAAATAAAAGGTCTGTTTACACTGGCGTTTGCTGACTATCCTACCATACTCAGCACTTTTAAATATTGTCGTGTATGAAAATGTAGTTTAAAATGCAAGACAAATTATTTATAAAGGACATTCTTTTAATAAATACCTGTTTTATCTGAAAAGTGTTATTGTGTTATGATATACTTTATTCATGTTGGTTATTAATTTACCATTATGAATAAATTTAAAGGTATATTGATAGAATCATATCTTTGAAGATGTTTACAAAAACAACTTTTTTTCTAAAGGAGAAAGTAGCAAGGAAAAAAAAACAAATATCTGCCTTCTCCTACTGTGAATTTCTCATAATGAAATAATTTAATGCTCATTATCTGAAATAACTGTGGTATTACATATTTATAACACCACAGTACAAGTTACATTTCCTATGGTACTATATATATATATATATATATATATATATATATATATATATATGTATATGTATATGTATATGTATATGTATATGTATATGTATATGTATATGTATATGTATATGTATATGTATAT